GGAGACTAAGGTGCACCTGATGCAGCCCATAGTCTTTGCAATTACTTGTTATGTGTCAGAAAACTGGGCAATGACAAAGAATAATAGGAGAATTGATGCCTTTGAACTCTGGTGCTAGAGAAGAGTATTGAATACACCATGGACTTCCAGGAGAATAAACAGGTTCATCCTGGAGAGGGTGAAACTTGGCTGCTCCTTGGAGGCAGGGACTCTGAAGCTTCAACTGACACACTTTGGACATGTTGCAAAGAGGGACCAGTCCTTGGAAAGGGACAGTCGCTTGGAAGGGGGGAGGGACAACACAAGAGAGGAAGACCCTGGACGAGATTAATTCGTTCAGTGATTGGGGTAATGAGAATAGATGTGTCAGAGCCAATGAGATTGGCATAGGATAGAGCAGGTTTCAGTGCTATTTTACATAGGGTCGCTATGAGTTGCAAGTGACTCAATGGCACATAACAACAACATCCCCACCCAAGACATTTACCTCTCAAATAGTTTTCAGGGGTCAAAGGTATCAATGGTTTTGAGATTGAATTTAGAAAGACTGAAAACTCCTTTCACCTGAGAAAGTTCTCTGTCCTTTGGTCCGACTCAGTGGAGTACTCCTGTGTTCTGGGCCCTACAGCAACTGGAGCTGAACACAATTCACCTGTGAGAGTGGTATGCGCAGACTCAAAATCTCTTCCTATGATATTTTTAAAGGAAGCGTCTTAGGATAATAGAGGGGAAGTGAGGAAGGGAGGGCTGACAAGACACAGGTATTTGCATTTAAATCTGGAGTCCTTGGAGTAACCCATGTGTAATAAATTTTGTTTTCAGACACTTCTTATGCATTCTAGAAATTGCAGAATACCACATAGTAGTCTAGAGAGTTCTGGTAGTCTTTTTATGTGGAAAGTTTAATATAATGCTGGTGGCCAAGTGGTAAGAAGTTGCACTGCAAACTCAAAGGCATGCAGTTCTAATCCACCCTCTGCTTCCTGGGAGAAAGTTGGGCTGTTTCCTTCCATAGGATTTATTTGCTGTGAAACCCCACCGGAGGCTCAAACAACTTCACAACACATAACAGGTAGTTTACTAGAATGGTGTAGTCCACAGTGTTCTCAGAGATTGATTCTTACATTCCAATATGGTCACAATCAATCATGTGGTAAGTTTAGTAATGCCAAATTCTGCTATATTTATAACAATTAGTGTGGATACTAAGAAGCTACTGGAATGAGTAAGAAATACATGTCTTTCTTCTGACTAGAATGGAAATAACTGTACAAGAAGTCTTTGTTGTTCTTGAGAGCATGGATAACAAATACTTTGGAAAAGGAGGAGAGGCATTATTACTTACCGACTCACTATCATATTAAAAAGGTAGGCGCATAAGAATCTTCTAAGTAGAGAGAAAAAGTAGATTGTGTTCATTGGTACATGTAAACCAAGTGGTCAATTTGGAGAACAACAGTATTTTTTTGAAATTTTTTCTACTTTATTTTTATTTTATATTGGTCTGCATACAAAATGATTCTATATCATGTATCATGTACATATAGTTTCCACATTCCTACATACACATTATGTTTCAAATAATCACTCATACACATTGTGTTTTATAAAATCAATCACCATTGATCTGTGGCTACTGTTATCCCATCTTTTCAGGTCCCTGTTGGATCTTTTCTAATGCCTTCACCCACTTACCTACTTCTGCTTACCATACTCTGTTACTGTAGTGATTTCCTCCCCTCTCCATCTGATGGCCCCCTCCCCTTCCTCTTTTGGACTTTTGTACACATCTTACGAGTTGTCCTTCTATTTTTACAATATTGATCTTATGCAGTATTTGTCCTTATGAAACTGAGTTAGTTCAGTCAACATAATGCTCTCTAGCCTCTCCTTACAAAGTAAATACTTGCTCCATAATTTTTCAGTCCATTCATTTGTTAATGGACATTTCAGCTGTTTGCATTTTGTTGCTATTGTGAATAAGACTGCTGTGAATATAGATGTAGAGGCCCTGTTTATGTCTCAATTCTGTTTTTCTTGGAGTATATTCACAGCAGTACAATAGAACAGAGACACAGAGTTTTATTTATCTATTTATTTATTATTTTGTAAAATAAAGAGAATATTATTACTAGGTAATAATATTCTGCAATATGACTATCAGTCTGCTTTTCCACTAAAATGTGATTTGAGGGGATAGTTCGGGTTCAAGGTTTAAAGAACATTTCAGAACTATAGTCTCAATGCATCCTTGATCTCAGATTGTTCAAGTCATCTGGGTTGTTTTAAATTATATTTTTTTAAAGAATTTGAATTTTGTTTTCTATTTTTCTCCCATTCTAATCATGATCATCTGTTGTGCCCCTGGCCAGATCATCCAGCAGTGGTATCTGAGCACTATCTAGTTCTTCTGGCAAATGTAATATTTAATACTTGTAGTTATTAATGAGCTCTGGTGGCCTAGTGGTAAGAAGCTGTATTGCAATCCCAGAGGTACACAGTTCAAATCCACCAGTTGCTGTGCAGGAGAAAGATTGACAATCTTCTCCTGTGGGTTTTACCAGCCTCTAAAAACCCCCTGGAGGCTCAGCAATTTCAACTCAGTGGTCTACAAAGGCAGTTATCTTCAATGTTAAATATAATAAAAAGTCCAGGACATAATCATAAAGATTTACTATGTTCTCCTCTATTGTTTTAATAAGGGAGGAAGAAGGGAAAATATCCTTGGAAATTTTTTCCAACTCTCCCAAGCTTATTCCTTTTTCCTACTTTCTATTCCCAGTATGCTCCTCTTCATCAGCTTTTATTATCAGTATGGCTGTCTTCTGTAGCAGTCTGTAAACTAGTGTCACATTCAATTTTATATTTGTTCCAATCCTAACAAATTAGTCAAATACGAGAATGATTATTCATGGTGGACAGTGTTTGGTTGAGGACCCCCCCCCTATTAAAACAAGCTTGGAAGCAGGAGTGGCATCCACTTCCATAATAGCTTGCCTCTAGAAACTATGAACCTGGAGAGAGGACAGGTGTCCAGGACTTTCGTTCATATGGTCACTATGAGTTGCCTGCGACTCCATGACACTTAACAACAACAACAGTAAGATATTAATAAACATGTATGGTATTGCCTAATTATTTCAAGACATTCATTTCCATGAAATGGCATTTTAAAACTAAGAACTGGTTCATTTGTTTTAAAATCTTGCTTCATTGCAGTGGTTTTACCTTTCTGTGTATCTGGATTTCCTTCAACAGCATGGAATGAATGGGCTGGGGTTGGGATGCTGAGAAATCAATCTAAAGATGTCTTTGTTTAGTCCACTAGGGGGAACTCTAGGCTTTGTTAGTTAATTTTTCCCTTCTCATGCCAGAAGATTCAGAGATGTGAGCCAATTAAATTACATGAAAGGATAAATGGTGCTTGTGAAAAGATTATCTTAGGTTTTCAGTTCTGCCATTTTACATAGAGCTCACACTTATTGCCATTGAGTTGGAACTGACTTGTAGCTGACCCTTCATTAATTGTGTTTTAAGGCAGTGAATTACACAGAAGGGAATTGTCAGACTTTCTCTTGTGGAGCTATAGCAGGATTTGAACCAGGGAAGAGGTGCTGCCTTTGTGTTACAGCAAACCCACACTTCCCTACAGTGTGATGCCACCAGAGCTCCCATGCAGTAATATATAAAGTCTTATAAAATTCGGGTTCATATCTCTATATAAATTGCTCACCAGATCTATTGTGAGGATAGTTCTTTTTGCAGAGAAAAGGTAATAGGAAATCTACAGGGCGTTGTGAGTCTGGAGGCTCAATAGAAAACCTTACTTGCTTTTACTTAAAAACACTCCAAACATTTTGTATGTCTACAATTCTAAAAATTTACTTACCAAAAGTTATTCCAATACTTTTTATTTCCTACTTTCTCTACATCTCATCTGATGTTTAGAAGAGGAAAGAATAAAAAGGAAAAAAAAGAAAATAGAACAGAAGTAATAAAAAAAGAGGGAAGCTTCTTATTTGAGCAGTAAGTGTGGCCTGACCAGAGTCGGCAATACAGGCCAGCATGGAGTATGGGAAAATGGGTAGATAGAAGAGAAGCTTACAGTGTAATGAAGTCAGGAAAGGCAATGCACATATATCCTATTTCACTTTTCATCAACTAAAATCTTGTTGGAATAATTTTCCATATAGGTGGTGACTGTATGTTCTGAGTTTCTAGGACTCTCCTGATATTAAGAATCTGTATTTCTTCATTCTCTAATGTATGCTGTCAAATAGTTTTCTTTTGTTCAGAAGTTTCATATAGTTCAAGTTTTCTGTTAAACTACGCAATTTGGAAAATGACAAATTACCCAATTTGGAAAATGATGTTATTTTCATGAGTCCTTGACTTAACACTACCTTAATTCTTCTAATGTCACCCCTTCATTCTTTGGCTTCTAACCTGCATCCCACAAACTTGTCTTGCATAAAGTGTTTCCAGTGGAAAAATAAATACTTGCATCTTTTTAAATGACAATTTTTTTTTCTGACCTCCCTACCCTATTCACACTCACCATCAGAGAGCAATGACTGTGCCTCCCTCACTGTGGGTTGAATTTCCTGTTAGGCTAAATGCTGGAGCTCAGATGTGATAGGTGCTTGCTTTGTGAGGCTGGTGGAACTTATTGGCTGCAAGATAATTTTTCTGGACTCAAGACTTGACACTGCAGTGTAGGGGCAAAGACACCCCAGCAATTGAGCAAGGAGGCATGAGGAGGCCACTGGGAGTTCTCCTGGAGATTCTGTGGGTCCACATTTGCTGTAAGTTGGGGCCACCCCAGATGGGTGACTGGTGAGATGAATGCACACAGATCTTCTAGCTTGTCCTTCATCTTTTTCTGAGTTTTTAGGTATTTTTAACAGTTTGGGAGCAGTGCCAATTATTCTTCTATGAAATAAATATGTGTTGTTGTTTTCTGTTTCCCCTTCCCCTCTTTCCAAGCAGGGGTGAGAGGAATGAAGGTGGAGCAGAGTCCTTCAGCTGTGAACCTCCAGGAAGGAACCAGTTCTACTCTGAGGTGCAATTATTCTGAGGCTGTGAACAATGTGCAGTGGTTCCGACAGAGTCCTGGAAGAGGTCTCATCAGTCTTATTTTCATAGCTTCAGGCATGAAGCAGAAAGGAAAGTTAAGTTTCACTATTAATTCTAAGGAATTATATAGCACTCTCCACATCACAGACTCTCAACTGGAAGACTCAGCCACCTACTTGTGTGCAGTTAAGACACAGTACTCCCAGCTAATCTGCAGGCTGCACCCAAACCGCAGCTGCAGTCACACCCTCACTAGGGGCAGGCCTATCACCCCCACAAGTAACATTTGCACAGCTTTTAAATTTTTCAATACGTGTTGTAACACTTCTGTCCTTGTTCAAATTTTACCTTGATCAAAATGTATTCAAGACTATCATTTCACCCTGTGTGAACCCAATGGGTAGGCCTCTCTGGCAGTTCGAATCCACTAGTGGCTGTAGGACAAAAATGAGCCATCTTTTCTCTTGCAAATTACAGCTTTGGAAACACAATGGAGGGTCAGTTCTGAGTTGGTTTCAACTTGACAGAAATGAGTTGTTGAGTTTTCTGTAAAAAAACAAACAAACCGAAAAACCCACAACTTTGTAGAAATAACCCTCTCCAACATAGAACCTGATCCAGACCATTGCCCTTGCAATTACTTGTTACACATCAGAAAGCTGGATAATGACTAAGGATGACAGAAGAATCAATGTCTCTGAGTTGTTGCACTGGAGGAGTATTGAACATACCGTGGACTAAAAAGATAATAATCAGGTCTGTCCTGGAGAGGGTGAACATAGGTTGCTCTTTGGAAGAAAGGATTTTGAGGCTGTGTCTTATATTTTGGGCATGTTGCCAGGAGGGACCAGTTCTTGGAGAAGGACATTATGCTTGGAAAAATGGAAGGTACAAGAGAGGAAGACCTTGGATGAGATGGATTGTCACAATGATTATTGTAATGCAGGAAAGGTGTGTCTGAGATGGTGAGATTGGCTTAGGATAGGGCAGGTTTCAAAGCTATTGTTCATTGGGTCACGAGGAATTGTAGTCAACTTGATGGCACATAACTACAACAGCAACAACAACATATATATAGGCAACAATATAGAGGCAGAAGACTCTCTATCTGTGTTTTATTGACTATGCAAAGACATTTAACTATATGGTTAGCATTAAGAAGAGTGGAAATTCCAGAATATTTAATTGTGCTCATACAGAATCTATACCCAGGTTGAGAAACTGTTGTTTGAACAGAACAAGGGTACACTACTGTAGTTTAAAATAAGGAAGGGTGTACATTAGGGTTGTATTCTTTTTCCAAATCTATTCCATCTTTCTCCCTAGGAGGCACTGATGGATTTGAACTGCTAATATTTTGGTTTGTTGTTGTTATTGTTATGGGCCATTGAGTCACCTGTTACTCATAGCGACCCTATGTACAACAGCCCTAAACCCTGCTCTCTTCTGTGCCAATCTTATTGTCTGTGACACACCTACTCCCATTACCCCAGTCATTGAATCAATCCACCTCAGAGAGGGTCTTCTTCTCCTGCGCTGTTACTCCACGCTCCCAAGCATGACGTCCTTCTCCAAGGACTGGTCTCTCCTTGCAATATGTCCAAATTATGTCAGATGAAGCTTCAGAATCCTTGCCTCAAGGAGCAGCCTGGTCTTACTCTATCAAGGACAAGCTGGCTTTTGGTGTGAAATCCAGTTTAATTCACTATATCATCAGACTCCCTTTGTGATGAAAAAGCTTTAAAAAACAAGCATTACCAAAAAAAAAACCATTATTGACAGAAAAGAAAATGACTAAATTTCTTCATGAACTTCAAATAATCAGATTTTTGAAAAGAGATCATGTGTTTGTATTTATTTATTTATTTACTCACTTACTTATGTATGTATGTATGTATGTATGCATGTATGTAGTCAAGCTTTTCATTACTGGACCTCAGAGCAAATATAATAAATATTCTTAATGATACTTAGTGACAGGTATTCTAGATAGCTTATTACTACATAAGTTACCTACTTGAGGACCAACAATAGCCTGTAAATAGTGTTAGGTTAGTGGACTTAAAGAAGAAATCAGAGAGAATGGGAGAAAGCTTAATGCAGCTTTATTAAAGGGGAGGAGAGGAGCTCCCAGGTGAGTTCCTCATCCTGGAGAGGCAGAATGGGAAGTCACACTGTGAACTTACTGGGGAGGAATTTTATAAACAGAGTCTTTAGGGAGTGACATTCCACTCTGATTTAGGGGCCACCTGTTAGCTCAGCCAGATATGCAAAGCCATTTGCTCTTCTTATCAGCAACAGGCAAGGCCATCAGCATTTGAGTTCTGAATTCTTCATTCTTCTCTTTGGTCCTCTTTGCCCAGACTAACAAATAGGTTTGATGGTTAAGGCTGTGTGCCAAGTTAGAGGCCTCATATTGTTTGGCTTGGCAGTTTTTTGGTTGTAGTCATTTCTTTGATGAGCTCTGAAACAGAATGATCGTTCTTTTGATGAAACTTAACATTATTCAAGTTCTGGAAAAGGGAATAGTTAAGTGTACATTGCAAAATGAACCACAGAGTAAGAGACCTAATGAAACCTAAAGTTTAATCCCTGGTGTGGATCAATTACAATCTGAATGAATCCCAACCTTGCAAGGTGTATATTTTAGTGTTATTGCATTGGCCAAAAATGAATTGTTGATGTGTGTTCGTCTTGATTCCATCTTATTCTGACACTAAGGATAGGGTAGAACTACCACATAGATACTCCCCAAGGCTGTAATTTCTAAGGATGCAGCTTTCTAATTTTTCTCTCATAGAGTGTTTGGCAGGTTCCAATATTCCATCTTCTAGTATTGCAGACCTTACCCATTACATCTCCAGAGTTCCTTTGTTGTTGTGGGGGTTCCTAGGAAATGAATATGAAACAATGTACAAACTCTAATGGAAAAAGGAGCTAGGTTTGGCATTGCACCGCCCTACGCCCTCCTCGGTCTCCTCCTCCCTGCAGATTTCATCCCTGGCACCCAGTGTATCCTGCTTGCCATGACTGCGCTCTTCCATGGCCGTGCTCACCCCACAACTCACAGTGCCAGAAGCTGCAGCAGTGATACCGTAAGCATGGCCGAGCTCAGGCTGCGCCACCTCTTTGATTTGCACAAAGAGTGCTTCAACAGCTTCAGCTTGACCCTCAACATTAGCAATGGGCAGATTCTGCTGGATTACTCTAAGAACCTGATGATAGAGGACTTGATGCAGATACTGGTGGACCTGGCTAAGGGTAGTGGTGTGGAGGCTGCCCAGGAGCACATGTTCAAAGGTGAGAAGATCAACCTCACAGAGAATTGAGCAGTGCTGCATGCACGTGGCCCTCCGGAACTGGTCAAACACGCCCATCATGGTGGACACCAAGCATGTGATCCCTGAGGTCAACAGGGTGGTGGACAAGGTCAAGTTTTTCTGCCAATGTGCCTGAAGTGGTGATTGGAAGGGGTTCATAGGCAAGCCCATTATGGATATGATCAACATAGGCATTGGAGGTTCTGACCCCTCATGGTGACTGAAGCCCTCAAATTATACTATGCAAGTGGTCACCGAATCTGTTTGTCTCCAGCACTGATGGGACCCACACTGCTAAAACTCTGGCTTCGCTGACCACCAAGTCCTCCCTGTTTATCATTGCCTCCAAGACCTTTATGATCCAAGAGACCATCACCAATGCAGAGAGGCAAAGGAGTGGGTCCTCATGTCTGCAAAGGACCCTTCTGCAGTTGTGAAGCATTTTGTTGCCCTGTCTACCACCATGACCAAAGTGAAGGAGTCTGGAACTGACCCTCAAAAGACGTTTGAATACTAGAATTGGGTTGAAGGATGGTACTCGCTGTGGTCAGCCAATGGACTCTCAATTGCCCTGTGCATAGGCTTTGACAACTTTGAGCAGCTAGCTGCTGTCAGGGGCATACTAGATGGGCCAGCACTTCCAGGCTGTGCCTCTGATGAAGGCCTCTGATGAAGATGCCCTTGTCCTGCTGGCTCTGCTGGGAATCTGGTATATTAATGCTTTGGCTGTGAGATTCAGGCTATACTGTCCTATGACCATTACGTCCATCGCTTTGCTGTCTACTTTCAGCAGTGTGACGTGGAATTGAATGGGAAGTACATTACCAAGTCCTGCATCCATGTAGACCACCAGACAGGCCCCATCTTGTGGGGAGGTGCAAGGGGCCAATGGCCAAAATGCCTTCTACCAGCTTATCCACCAAGGCACCTGGATGATACCTTGTGACTTCTTTATTCCTGTCCAAGCCCAGCACCCTATACAGAGTGAGTTACATCACAAGATCCTTCTGGCCAGCTCTTTAGCCCAGACTAAGGCCCTGATGGAGGGAAAGACAAAAGAAGAGGCCCAGAAGGAGCTCCAAGCCAGAGGAAAGAGTCAAGAGAAATTGGAAAAGCTGCTGTCACACAATGTCTTTGAAGGAAATTGTCCATCCAATTCCATTTCGTTCACCAAGCTTATGCCATTCGTTCTTGGAGCTTTGATTGCCATGCATGAGCATAAGATTTAGGGAATCAACAGCTTTGACCAGTGAGAAGTGGAGCTGGGCAAGCATCTGGCTAAGAAAATGGAACTTGAATTTGAGGGTACCAACCCAGGGACCTCTCATGATTCTTCCACCAATAGGCTGGTCATCAAACAAGGACAGAAAGCATGAGCTCAGACACCAATAAATTCATGCTCAGCACCAATCCCATTGTGACTGGCCCTTCTTATCTTTACTGCCACAGTCCTTCCCCACCCTACCCGGATTACTTTTGGGTTATAGACTTGGACCATGGTCCCTTGATGGAAGCTGTTCTGGACTTGCCACACCTTCTCTCTCAGTGTCCACTAGACTCTCTGTGGTGCCATTTATGGGAATGTTTCATTGCAACTACTTTTACAGATCCGTGTTCACACGATTCATGTCCCAGGTAGAAAAAGAAAAGTACCACAAAGAAGAAAAAGAAAATGGGAGTGAGGTTGCTTCTTAGGCATGCTACCTGCACAGGACCTTGCTCTCAGAAAGAGTTCTGGGCTTGGACTAATATTCAGTTGTTGCTCTCTGGAAATCCTTACAAGTTTTATCTTTGAACTTTCTGACTTGACAATATAAAACAACCACAATATATGGCATAAATATACTAGCAAATAATTAGAAATGAATAAATAGTAGAAAATAAACTAGATGATTTGATTGAGAACTCCTTAAAATAAAATCATTATAGGCACCACAAAAGTGAAATGAGAACCTACAGATTGGAAATAAGTATTTGGTAATGACATATTGGACAAGTGACTAATCTCTAAACTGGATAGAACTTCAACCCTT